TGCAGTGAGTGGGGGCTGCGCTGCCGCTCTCCCCACGGCTCTGACGCAGCTTTTCCACCCCCAGCCAGGCCCACAGGATGGAGCAGATGCTGCCACGGGCTGGTGGGACAGCCCAGCAGGAAAGGATGAAGCTACTTTTCTTGTCCATGAATGGGAAAGATCCTTCCCCACTCAGCCCTGTGAGACCCCGAAATCCTGCATCCCATGGTGCTCCACAACAACCCACCTCCTCCCAAATTGTTCTGAGTTGATCTCACCTGGTTAAAGGCAGCCAGGAGCTGCACAGAGAGACCCTGCAAACCCACCCACTGGGGTGTTTTATTGTAAGAAACTCCATTCTCCCCTGCTGACGTTGAGTAAGGCTTTGTGTACCGGGAACATCTCCCTACCTTGATGGAGCCCAGGGGTGACAAACACAGGCCACCACCGCCTGCCTGGCAGCATCTCTGCAGTGCCATAGCAACAGCTGAGAAGTAGGGAGGCCCAGATGGCAAACTCCTCCATCCATCCTTCCCCACGCACCGTGCCGGCGCACGCAGGCACTGCCCACGCTGCCAGAAGGGTAACTCCCCAGCCCACCCCCAGCACCCAGGACACACCAGCACCCCAACACCCAGTGGCACAGGTCAGCCTGACCAGACCCCCACAGTGCCATGGATGAGGATCCAAAGTGCCACCCATCCCAGCTGCTCAGTACAGGGCAGCAGAAAGGGGTTTTTTCCCCCTCAGAATCCCCAGGACTGAAGTGCTCGCTGTGCATCTGGTCTTTTTTGGGAGGTCTTGCAAAGGATGGAGCCTCACTTCAGAAAGGTGAGGCTGGGTTAGGGGAAGCTTGAGCATCCCCACAAGTCACACCTGGCTGGGGATACAGCAAAGGCCACCCAACTGCACTGGGAAAAGCAATGGCATGAACATAGCCCAGCACCATGGCCATCCTATCCCTGAACCAGGAAAGAAAAGCCCAGAAGCATGACTCCAAACTGGAGCCATCTCAGACAGGGTCCAAGCCAGCCCCTCAGCTAGACAGGACCCTTGGCAACTGTCACAGAGATCTCTGCGTGCAGAACCACATCCCCAGGGATGCAATCTGAAATTGGACACATTTCTGGGCAGGCTGGGAAATGGCAGAGGGACAGCAGACAAGCCAGCCTCCTTGTCCTCCATCTCAGGATAAGAACCTCCTGCCCTTTCCCTGCTTGACCATTAACCTAGCACCACCTGCGTTTGTATGATGGTTATGTGCCACTGTCCCCTATCTAGTTCAGCTGGGGTAGAAGCCACCCACCCCTAACTGTGGCTGCTCTGTTCTCCCTGAAAAGGAAGAGGATGGATGGGAAACTAGAAGCAGCAGCAAATGGAGCACAGGCCATTCGTTTGAGGGATGCAACAGGAGGCTCCATTATGTATCACACTGTGGGCACTCACAGGGCTGGGGCACCCTGACAGCCTCCATGGGCAGTGCTACAGGCTGGGTGTCTCCTGTTGTCCTGTCATCCTTGTCTCAGGGGGTCTTATTAGCCACTGAGATATGAAATAACCCAGAGCTTCTGAGGGCTTGGTCTCTGATGCTGGGGATCTGCCTGGGTGGGCTGGACTGGTATGGAGAGGTCTCTGCCCTGGCTAGCTCAGATCTGAGGAGGGGAGAAAATGGACAAGATCACAAAGACGGTTCACCTGGCTTTCTTTCTCCAGCTCTCCAAATGGGCCCTGCAACCTTTCATCAGCACCACCCAGGCTCAGACAGCCAAGCTGAGCTCATCTTTCAGATATGAATAAAGCCCCTCTTGGCCCTAAGGTGGTTTCACCACCCCATGTCCCATCACTTTTCCACCAGCAGGAGGATGGAGCAGAAGCCATCAGCTCCCCCAGGGCCTGTGGGGAGGACTTGGCTGGACCATCATACCTCCGGGCTACAAGGACAGGGTTCAACCTCCTCTAGTCACCCCTGAGCCTGGTGGGCAAAAGAGGCTTTGCCCACTCACTGCCCACAAACGAGATGAGCTGCCTAGCAAAGCCAAGCCCCAGTGAGCACGGCACTCCAGGAAGGTGCTGCTCAGCACCCAGCTGAATCAGCCCCATGTGCCAGGAGTGATTCAGCGATGACCAGGCTGGGCTTCGACGCACCCCTCGCCCCAGCACCCGAGATGGGGGAGGAGGCTGGCAAGGAGAGGCCTGTCACAGAGCCAGGAGAGTGTCTGCACCCAACGCCTCCCACAAAAGGGCACAAACGCAGACTCAACCCTGGCTCCAAGCACTGACTCCCTCGCTAAGAAGCAGACCCACCACCCAAACCATCCCTCTGCTCTCATAAGCATCCTCTATGAACCACTGCCACCTCCCCAGGAATCACAGACCCCTGGGGAAAGTTTTCACTCACACTCAGTCTCAATCCCTAGCATCATTTTGGGGTTCACCCCAGTCCTATATCTTGCCCCTAAGCCAAGGGAGGTGTGGGGCTGGCAGCAATGCAAGGGGCAAGGGAACATGCTTTGCTCAGCGTGGAGCAGAGATACCCCCAGCAGAAACTGGCATCTTCTCTTCCTTCCCCAACTTAAGAAAAGCTTCTCTCTCAAAAAAAAACAAAAAAAAAAACCCAACATCTCTGTTTCTGGAGTTCCAGCTTTTTTTGTTGCTGTGTTTTCTTTCCCCCCACCTTCTCCCTGTCGTGAACTGCTTCTCCAGATTTTTCAATTTCAAAGCAGTACAGACATTTCCTGGGCACAAAGCACTCCCATAGCACTACCTCTTGCAGCAGCTCAGAGGGATGTGTGCATCTGACAACGCACACTCACACACACTGGCAGCTTCCAAACCCTCCACAGCCTTTCTGGCTGCTCTCTGTACCCCAAAGGGTTAAAACCAAACCACAACAAACAGCAACCAGAGGAAAAAAAAACAACACACGAGTTTCTCCGACTTCTCCAGCATCACCCACATCCCTCCAGCATCGCAAAGAAAACGCTCCAGCCCCGCGACGCAGGATAAATATGGGGTGATTGAAGGGGAGCTTTCCATTAATATCCCCCTTTTTACTTTCCCCATTCCTGTTGGGTTTGCAGGGGTTTACTGGAAAGATGAAGGCAGGACTCGGGGTTCAGGGTCAGTGGTACCTGCTGAAAATCTGCTTGGGCATCACATAGGCATGTAAGCAAGCAGGGAAAGCTTCTCCCATCGTCTTTACCCACCAAAGGTGACAAGCAGAGCTGTGAAAGAGGCACTGCAATTACTCTGTGGCTCTGCTGCAATTGCACTGTGACCAAATGAAACAGCCTCAGAGACCCAGCAAAGCCCTCTCCCTCCATGCAACTGTGCAATCGAGGTGAAAAAAATAAATAACCCTCCATTACTCATTTCCAACCTTGCTGCGTTTAACTGCCAGAATAAAAGATTCCACCTCTTCTCTGCTCAACTCCCACTGGCAACTTGCTCTGGGGGCTACATTTCCCTAAATGCTCACATTTCAATTAGCATTAGAATAATGAAATGGTTCAGAGTTCATCTCACCCAAAAAATGTACTGGAAAATAAAAAGCAGAGATTGGAAGAGCTGAGGATATTTTTCCCCACACACACACACGCTCACAGCATGATGGATTCAGGAGAAGGAAATATATTCCTTTCTCAACTCCACACTGATGAGATTAACATGGGCTTTGCTAACTGCCTCTCCAAACAAGGATAATGCAACTTCAAGTTGATTTTCCAGATAAACAAGCATGCAAACAAACGCAAAGTGCTCAACTAAAAATATCTCCCTGCTCCGATGCTTCTCTCCACCGCCACCACCCCGAGAGGAAAACACACAAATCCTATCGCAGCAACACAGCCAGTTGCAAAATTGTAACAATGCAACTTAAATAAGCTACTTAAGGAACATCTCACTGTCCTTTTTTTTTTTCCCCCCTCCCCTTAAAAAGGCGAAACTGCAGATTCCCCAGGCACACTCAACCAGCGCAAGGAAAGGAACGTTTTCTGCTGTGGACATGGGGAAAAAAGAGACGCTCTAATCGGATGCGAAGTGTTGAAAAAAAGAACAAGCAGCTTAGAACTTGTTTTTCTTGCCCAATTTGGGTCTATATGGAGCTGTGTGTGGCTGTGGCGTTACTTCCCCCCCCCACACACACACACGCTCACAGCATGATGGATTCAGGAGAAGGAAATATATTCCTTTCTCAACTCCACACTGATGAGATTAACATGGGCTTTGCTAACTGCCTCTCCAAACAAGGATAATGCAACTTCAAGTTGATTTTCCAGATAAACAAGCATGCAAACAAACGCAAAGTGCTCAACTAAAAATATCTCCCTGCTCCGATGCTTCTCTCCACCGCCACCACCCCGAGAGGAAAACACACAAATCCTATCGCAGCAACACAGCCAGTTGCAAAATTGTAACAATGCAACTTAAATAAGCTACTTAAGGAACATCTCACTGTCCTTTTTTTTTTTTCCCCCCTCCCCTTAAAAAGGCGAAACTGCAGATTCCCCAGGCACACTCAACCAGCGCAAGGAAAGGAACGTTTTCTGCTGTGGACATGGGGAAAAAAGAGACGCTCTAATCGGATGCGAAGTGTTGAAAAAAAGAACAAGCAGCTTAGAACTTGTTTTTCTTGCCCAATTTGGGTCTATATGGAGCTGTGTGTGGCTGTGGCGTTACTTCCCCCC